TGCTCACCTGGCTGGGGGGTGCTTACCTGGCTGGGGGGACAGTCACCTGGCTGGGGGGACAGTCACCTGTATGAGGGTTCCTCTCACCTGTATGAGGGTTCCACTCACCTGTCTGGAGGGTTCCTCTCACCTGTCTGGAGGGTTCCTCTCACCTGTATGAGGGTTCCTCTCACCTGTATGAGGGTTCCTCTCACCTGTGTGGGGCGGTGTCACCGTTTCCCAGCAGGGCCTGGGGGAGGCACAGCTAGTGGGAGGTTCCACTCCCCTGTCTGAGGGGTAGAGGGGGGAATGGGGACCCCTCACCTCTCCAGGCTGTGTCACCATTTCCCAGCAGGAATTGGGGATCGTTTTCTTCTGGATTCAGCTTGATCCAGGGCCTCCAGCCACGGGTGCTGGTGCTGCTCCTCTCCCAGTTCCCTCCCAGTTCATCTCTTGTGCACTTCCCCATCCATACGGGAATATTCCAGAGCTTCCCCTTGTACCTGGATAAAACCCCAGGACTCCCTCACTCCCATTTCCCACCTGGGAGGTGTCCCTGGCTCATGTTCCCGCTGTTCCATCCTGGTGCCATGTCGGACAGCCCCAAATTCCCATTTTCCCCGCAGTATTCCCTGGATAACACCCGGGACATGTCCATTGCCCACCTGTGCGGGATCGTCGTGTCCTTCGCCCGCCTCAACTTCCAGCCCAGCTCCGGCGAGGAATTCTTCTCCATGGTGACTTCTCTGGGAATCCTGGAATTCCAGGGTGCTCTCGGTGGGGGCGAGGGACCTCAAAGATTTCCCACAGCCATGGGTTCTGTCCCCAAATCCCCCTCCCTTTTCCTGTGTCCCGAATCCCTCCCAGCTCCCCTTTAGGCACCAGGAGGGGCCCCAGAGCTGCCCCCCCGGCTCTCACCTGTGCCCGGAGCACAGATGTTGTCCTGGCACATTCCCACGGGGAAGGGGGTGTTGGATGGCTGGATCCATGGATTGAGGGACCAGGGATCACCTGAGAGGGGCCCCAAAGCCTCACCTGGGCAGTGCCCTGGGGGGACAGCGGGGACACCTGGGGACACCCGTGGGTGTGGTCGAGTTTCCCTCTGTGTTCTCCCTTTCCCAGGTCCACGAGCAGCTCCAGGGGCAGGTGCAGCAGCTGGATCCTCACGTGCTGACAGATGTGGTGTGGTCACTGTGTGTCCTGCAGCAGGCCCAGCCCCCCTACCTGCGCCAGGTGCTCGCACCTGAGTTCCACACTCGCCTCCGAGGTGAGGGCACCGCGTGGGGCTGGGGCTGGGGCTGGGCCCTCCTGCTGGGACTCGGGATTAGCCAGGAGCTCCAGCCCTGGGGAAGGGGGGGTCACCTGTCACGCAGGTGGTTTGGGGGGGTCA